CTAATAAAGTTTGGTTTGGGCATCTAGCAACTGTCTGTTATGATAAATTGGAAAAGCAAAATCTCAGTTTTATTGTTACTGCAATTCTGCTGGCAAGATGCTTCTGGAGGCTACACAACTTTCCATGCTTTACGTTCCAATAAAATGACTTTTAATCTCAACTGACCTAAAACCTGCCTGAAGGAACCTTTATGGAGCATGGCAAACAACTCAAGCTCCTCTTGCTGCTTGATGTGGGACTCTGTCCCTCTGCCTTCTGCAAATTTCAGCAAGGCTTCCTGAATAGCTTGAGAGTTAATTCAAGGATTTCAGTTATCCCATTAATTATTTTTTTTTTTCACTGTCCCTCTGCCTTCTGCATATTTCAGCAAGGCTTCCTGAATAGTTTGAGAATTAATTCAAGGATTTCAGCTATCCCATTAATTATTTTTTTCAATTTGTAAGCTATTAAATGTGTTTTTCATGGAGTTTATTTTATATCTGGTTTGTGTCTTTTTTTTTTTTCTTCTGGCTACTATAGAAAGGTCACTGGACTGTGATGTTACTGTAATATCCTAAACAAAGTACCAAGAGTGTGAAATTGTGCTCTTTGCTGGATGAATGTCTGACATTTGGTTGTTTCTATTGAAGATACAGGCATGCTAGAATTTCAGTATATTTTTCACTCTTTTCCTTGAATTATGGTGCTTGTGGGGTTTTTTTGGTTGATTTTTATTTGTTGTTGGCCCCCCAGAGGGCCTTCATTACCTATAGTAGCCAACTTCAGACAGAGTCTTGAGTAGCTGAAGACTTCCTTTGTTTAAAATGGGCAAAGATGGGTGTTACGCAGCCGTGCTTATCGGGAGGCTCGCCCTCTGCTTTGGCACGGGGATGTGGTTGGCAGAAGAGCCGGTTGTGTAAGTTTTGGAGGAGAGTCCACCTGTGCCAGCAGTGACTGAATGCCTTGTGCACGCAGCCTTGCTATGCTGGCACCAGCCTGAGCTATTTTGTCAAAGAGGCAGTGTGTTAGACAGGGTGCTCTTCCTCTTTGCCACGAGGAACAGTGTATTCTGGAGTGGTTGAGGGGACTGACTGGCTCTGACACGTTTGATCTGTTTTATTGTTTCATTAGTCAAGTTGTGGTCTTACTCGAAACCCAGAGCTGAACAGACCGCTCTCATAAAGCCTGCTATAACCACCTTTCCTCCAGAGGTGTCCAGTCGATGTGTTTTTACTTAGCACTGTTGATTTAATCAATCTGCTGCCCCAGAAAATGGGTCAAAACCTTCAAAAAAACACCATCAGGGAAGTTAATTAGTTATGTTGGAAAGCTGTCATCGCTGGATGACAGAAAATTTGGGTATGAGGATGTTGTGGGAGACAAGGTCCAAAGCCTTGATGAAGTTGAGATAAATGATGCCCACTGCTTTCCCGTTATCCACTAAACTCACCATGTCATCGTGGAAGGCTGTCAGGTTGGTCAGGCATGATTTTTGTCTTCATACATCTTTGTTAATTCATAGAATCCATAGATTCTATGAATCTATGAATTCTATGAATCTATTCCCACTATCCTCACCCTGGTGCTCTTGAGTGGCACAGGCTCAGCTGCTTCTGATGCTTCATTGAACAGAGCTTCCAGCCCCTTGACTGCTACCAGGGCACTGACCCTAGTCCTGTGTCTCTAAACTTGTTCTGTCAGTCCTTACCGTCTGTTATAACTTATTTTCTGTGGTACCTTCATCAACCTGACTCTGATTTGGCCTGTCATTATTTTCGTTTCCTCCGCTCTTTCCTCGGTTGGAAGGATGTGCCAGGTGATATTATTTTTATCTTTTGAATTGTTGCCAAAACAAGGTTGCCACGTATTTGTTAGAGGTCTAGGATAAAGACATCTTCTTTGCATGCTGTGTAGGAGGTGGTTTGTGATGGCCCATGCTGCTTCTGAAAACTAGGAGAATGTTGCCTCCCTCTCAGGTGAGCTTTGGTCCTGCTGGGTGTGCAAGAAAAGCACAGTTAACCTCACAGTGTTCATGCTTAAGCTCAAGAAGACTACTTTTCATCCAAGACTTGGTCATTTTGGACTTTCAATCTACAGATAATTGATTTGAGTTGGGTTTGAAATTGAGAAAGCAGTGTAAAAAGCAGAGGGGAGTTGAAATAGGTATTTTTGGCAGTTTGTGTTGCTGAGAGGTTCTGCTGCACCTTCTACCAGTTGAGACTTTCTGGTTTTTGAAAGTTTTGACCAGTTTATATTACTGAAGTCCAGCTTATTTCTGACTGATTTTAGCATCACTTCTGTTCTTGAGTAAAGCTTTCAAGTGAGAACTTGAAGCATTCAGAAGTGTAGTTCAGAAGCATTCAGAACTACTTCAAGCATTCAGAAGCATGGGCTGACGTGACCCCTAATTATTGTTGTTATAAGGAGTTGTGATTCCTTAAAAACATTTTCTGTCACTGTTGAACCCTGGTTTTGCTTAGATAAATATTGTACTTTAAGACCTTTCAGAGGCTTATTTAATCTGGGCTGCTTGCCCATCGCGTTGTAGTCCTAATTACCTGGTCAGTTCATCTACTGCTTCTTGCTACTATTGAAAGACAAAACCTGTAAGTGTTCCTCTTGAGAACCAAGTAGTAGAGAGGTGTATAGCAGCTTCATATTTATGTATCACCACATGAAGAAAGCATATGGGATGAAACTATCTTGACATTTCCCATGACTTCTCTCACTTTTCAGGTGAGAGAGCAGAGCTAAGATCTGTTTTGTGTACGTATCCATGGAAATGAGGATGGTATTTAGTATCACTGACAAATACAAGAGGATATTCAGCACCTAAATCTCAAAAATAAAAAGCTAATATTCATTTGCTGCTATTTATCTTTGGAACACTGACTCATGTTGGCATGACTGAATCTGTGCCTTGCAGTGTGGAAGGGTGACCAACATGAGCGTGTTGTGCATTTCAAGCACAACAGAAAACACAGAAGTGTTGCCCCAAGGAAATAAAGAAGCTTTCAAAATAATTAGTTCATGTTGACATAGCATGGCTGTGATTACCTAGTGCTTCTGTGGAAAAAGGACCAGGTGTTTGGCAGTGGGACTCACAGTCTGCAATGCTGTAAGCATTTACTATGACTGACACTGTGCTCTGATCCATTTTCCATGTTTAACTTCTTAAAACTGTCCTATACTGTGGATGTTGAAATATAATACCTGCTAATGTAGTTCAAAAACAGAGTTTATAATGAAATAAATACGTAATGTGGATATTTCTTAATTTTTTATGCATTTGTAAGTTTCCAAAATCATTGGGTTGAGTTGGTTGGGAGATGACATTTTTATTTCCAGGCTGCAGGTGATGAATGGCAGTTGTCTTTATGATCTGTGGCTGCCAGAATTTCCTATCTGTTGGGCAATATTTCATGTCAGCCACTCAAAAAAACAATTCAGTGCAGAAGCAAGACAAAACTACTATTCTTGCTGCAGGCGGTAATGGGGAAATATGATGCTTTGAAGCAAGCTTAGAGAACATGTTTGGCAAAAATAAACGTATATAGTGCAAAAAGTGTATGGAGTTCCAGAGTGTGTTTGATGAGCAGGTAACTCTGGCGATGGCTTCTGTTCGTAATGGAAAAAACCCCAGATTTTTAAAGGAAAAAAGGCAAAACTAAGTCTTCATGATTATATTTGACCGGATCTTTTGTTAATGCGTGTATTCAGAAAATGGTTTGCTAGAGAGAGATCATTCCAGCTTCTCTTGTGTTCATGGCACCATCATGTAGTTCTGGTTTTTGCCAAGGGTTGTCTGACTCCCTCTATAAGCAGCAGAGGAAGAAAGGCTACATTCCTACGTGTGTGCAGCAACACTTTTAATCACCACTGTCCACAGATGAGAATTATACATTGATTTAATGGAGCTGTAAGTTCGATACCAGGAAAAAATACTTTCTCTCATTTGATTCCTTAAATTGTGAATTAATTGTTGGGTATTATCATGCATTGATAGAATTAGTAGTAACCTGGGAAAAAACTTCAGGATTTCCATCTTTTAACCCTGTTGTGCTCTTTTCTTTGTGCGTGTTTGTCGTGACCTGTGGAGGAGAGGGAGGTTTTGGCAAGAGCTGTGTTACATAGTGCCTGGGTGTCCCGACTGGATTTGAGCGAGAGGGAAGATTATTTGATTGCTGCAGGCTTGTGGAATTTTCTGGCATAAACAGAATTTCTTGATGAACAAATGAGTTTTGATTGCCAAACAAGCCTTAAGCTGTCAGTAAGCGGCTCTCATGGCTCTTGTGCAACATATGGACAACTGTGTAAATACATTGCTGTGCTCCTCTGAGTAAACTCAGTTATATCAAAATTAATGCTCACTTGCTTGTTCTTCTTCATACGAAACCAGATGAATCTGAAGGAGCATGCCTTTTACATATCTGTGCAAATTAAGTATGACATTGTCAATCATACACCTTCTGGCTGTATTACGTTTCTTGAATCAAGCCTCCAAAAATACTGCGTGTGCAGCAGTCAGGTTTTTTTGCAGATATAATAGCAGATGAAAGTATGAGAATTAACAAAGCGTTGCATGTATATGCCATACATGCAACATTTGAACCTTTCTCCTTCCTTGGCCCCAAATATGCATTGAGTAACAAACGCTTGCTCTGTGGGCAGTGGTTCATAATTGGTAAATCTTAAGCTGGGACTGGGCAGGGCAGGAGGGGAAAAAAAAATAAATCACTGCCAGCCATCCCTTCCACCACATGTGCACAAAACCCACCAACAAAATATGACCCAATGTCATATTCTGAAATTTACTTTTTTCTAAGAGGTGACTGTCCATTTTTTCCCTCCCTCTCTCTAAAATGGTTGGGAACACCACAGTTAACAAATGAGTGTTGCTGTAAGGGGAACACTTGTTAGCATTTGTCGTTATGTCTGCCTTTTTGTACATACATGGCTTTAAAGTTGCATTTCCATGCCTAAGTTGCATTCATTCTGGTATTTTTATTGTTTTTTGTAGTGGACTACATCGTGGAATATGACTATGAGGCAGTGCATGATGATGAGTTAACGATCAGAGTTGGGGAAATCATCAGGAATGTGAAAAAACTGGAAGAAGAAGGATGGTTAGAAGGGGAGCTAAATGGCAGAAGGGGCATGTTCCCTGACAATTTTGTGAAGGTGAGTTTTCTGCATTGCCTTGGTTCCACTGTGATCGTACAGAGGGCTCGTTATTATTGAAATGGCTAGAATTACACATCTTGTATTTGTAACAAGATGGGGTTTTTTTAACTGTTAGACCTTTTAGCTGATTAATTTTTTTTACTATGCTTTTGAATACATTTTTTGAGTAAGTTCTGCTTACTACACTTTTGAATACATTTTTTGAGTAAGTTCTGCTGTCTGTTCTTATTTGCTTTAGCATTTCTCTTGGTCTGTACCCTTGCACTGTATATTCTGTTTCCTTCCTCCAGCTGCAGTGCACGTTGTCTGTAGCTGTGGTGACCTGCTGCAGTGAGATGAACTGATCAAAAAACCAAAAGCCCCAAAAACCTCAAACCTACCGCTACTCTCAAGTCATGAGAGAGTTGAAAAAGCAGGGTCACAGCTCTCACAGCTCGGCTATAATGAAAAACTACATCCTTGGGCTGTGGTTGTGTGGGTGCTTCAGCCTGGATTAAGCTGCTTTGTTTGAAGAAGCGGTTCTGTTCTACCCTGGACTCCTTGCTGCCTGCACCACCTCTTTTGTGACCGTGCAAGGGGACAGGGCAGGGAATGTATCCAGCTACAAAGATAACTTTGAAATCAGGTTGGGTTTCAGCTTGTTTGATTTCCTGACTGGGCTCCCCATTTGTCAGCAGGAAATACCTGAACTGGGAAGGGTGTGAGGGAAGTGCTCCTCTGGCTGCAGCACTCTCCTGTCTCTGGATCAGTTGTCATCTCCCTAAGCAGGATCCTCTTCTTTGGAATCTTTCTCACTCAGTGCTGTCCGACTGACTTGGAATAATTGTCTTCTGCTGTGAGAGATTGCTTCTCAGACCTTTTATTTAACCTTTTTATGTTTATTCTGTGTTTGTGTCTTAGTTGACGTTCTTGTTTGCACCTTCCACATTTTTCCTGTTTTCCTTGCAAAATTCTAAAAGATAACTTGCTGCCTTGGTGTCAGAGTTGAGTGACGTTGTGAGGCTATAAGTTATCTTGGGAACTTTTAATATGGTATGCATAGGCTGCAAAGCTGTTATGCAGTGATGAGATCATGGGAAAGCATTAATTGTTAGGGAAGTGAAAGTCACGGGTTTCTTCATGGCCAATTTGGTTATAGTTTCTTTTTAAAAGTTCATTTACAGGTAGGGGTAGACTGTTTCTGGGAAAGCTGTTGCAGAAAAGTGGCTTGTTTTTTTTTTTCTGCCTCTGTCCTCAACTGTTCTCTTGTGCTGCTGCAGTAGGTTGTTGTGAAACGCTACCATGACTGGACCTCTGCAAATACCAGCCCTCAGGAGCTAAACTCAAATGCTCTGGCTTGGCCTGGTGCAATGTTAACGCCTGCAAGGTGTGGGTGAACTGCTGGAGGGAGGTGGAAATGAGCAGGGTTGTACTTTGGCCTTGTGAACGAGGAAGGTCCCTTAAGAAATAGATTTACTCATTGCTGCCTCACCCAGTAGCTCACCACCACCAGATGGTGGTGGCCTCTGAGCATCTGTCTTTCTGCTCTAAGCAGGAGCCTCCTTATAGCTCCTGCAAAGGAGATGTAGGGTTGAGAGTAGACAAAGAAGTGTAGGGAGTTGATTGGGAAGTGTGATGACAAGAAGGATGCTGAAAAGGGACAAATATTGCTAAGTTCTCATGAGCCACACCAAAGGGAAAGGAGGCTGAAGGTCTGAACAAGGCAGTGAGGAGGAAACAGCTGGAAGGGGAGGGCTGGGGGGGCCTCGGGGGACATGGTGTGGATCTCCCAGGTCAGATGAGTAGAAATGTGGCCCAAGAGAACAAATTGGTGTGAACAGGACCAAGGGATGCACCAAGTTTTACACGTTGGGATGCAAAATTCTGGGACTGTACTTGAATATTTATTCTTTCCTAAAAGGATCTTCCTACTGTCCTGTTATGAGTGTAATTTCATGTATTAGATGGGGATCTGGCCTCAACTCATTATATGGATAAATCTGGGGCTTTTTGATGATATATATGCTGGTTTGTTAAGAATTGATCGAGGCCAGGGTATAATCTCTCCATGCAAAATTTGGATCGTAAATTATAATCTGTGCTGATCTGAAAAGGATTATTGTTTGAAATTGAATGTGCATATGTTATCCCCTAGATTTGTTTAGCTTCTTCATGTATAAAATATTTAAAATCATAATAAATATGACAGATTAAACTGGATTAAGGTGAATATTTTTTTTTTCCCAAATGTCAAATGTTTTTACAGACGATAAATGATTTCTATAAAAGAAGCCTCTGGTTTCTCATCAGACAACTATGTGAGAGCTGGGGAGGGGGGAGATGCTAATTCCAGCTATTTTGACTTTTGCTCATTTTATTAGTTTTTCTCTTCATCTTGTCTGAGGGCAGGAAAAGAACAAGTTGCCTTGGTGGTAACCGCAAAATGTCCTTGGCTGCCAGGCAGCGTGTGGTTGCTTCTTGCCTGTTTGAAGGGCAACCAAAATGTTGACAGGAGGATTATGGCTCCCTGCATGTGCTGGATGCCCCAGATTTGGACCGTATCATTGTCGCCAAAGCAGATCAGTCCCCTTCTGTTCCCTCCTTCTGGGCTCTGCTAATACATAGGATTTACTGACATTTTACACAGCTCCTCATGCTTTGACTTTTGCATGCTTTGACAAATGCATCTTTTCTATTTGAAGCGTGACCAAGTGCTGTCAACTTCATTTTGTGTTGTTGAAGTCATGCAGGAAATACCTTTTTGATTATGTCTTCCTTTTTTTTTTTCTTAGGTATTCTAATATTGCAGAGTAGTTTATGTAGTGGTAGTGGGTTCATGCTTCATGTGGTAATAGCAATTGAGTCTCCCCTGTCAGAAGTGCAGCAAAGGAAGCTGATACTGTGTTTCAAATGGGTTAATTTGTTGTGCAGACAAGAAGGTGACCTAAGCACTGTCTGACTTTGGAATACCCCTATGCAGAAAGGAATGTCTGGAAGCTTCCTGTGGATCCTGATGAGATGCTGATGCTTGGTACCTTATAACATTTGCTGGTTACTTTTTGGTTGCTTAGGTATTCTAATATTGCAGAGTAGTTTATGTAGTGGTAGTGGGTTCATGCTTCATGTGGTAATAGCAATTGAGTCTCCCCTGTCAGAAGTGCAGCAAAGGAAGCTGATACTGTGTTTCAAATGGGTTAATTTGTTGTGCAGACAAGAAGGTGACCTAAGCACTGTCTGACTTTGGAATACCCCTATGCAGAAAGGAATGTCTGGAAGCTTCCTGTGGATCCTGATGGGATGCTGATGCTTGCTACCTTATAACATTTGCTGGTTACTTTTTGGTTGGGTTTTTTTTGGCTTCTACCCCAGCTTTTTTGCCCATTGATGGTGAGATTCCGAAGAAGGATTGGAACTTGGTGGTTCTGAGACCTGGGTGTGTTCTGAGAGCTCATCACCATCTCAGTCTGAGATGGTCTGTCCCAAAAGGTGCAGTTCTTGGTGTTGACTTGTACCTGTGTTGTTTTGCATTAAAAGAAAGGTAGACTCAGTTAAGGGGAACCCCATAAAGCCCCCAGAACATCCTTGGATACTAGTGTGACAGTGTCACTGTGTTGGATGGACATGTTGTAAAGGTTGGGAGGGCAGTCAGGGGGTGGGATGTCCAAAGCAGTCCTGAAACCAGAGCTCAGGAGTGGTGGAGAAGCTCGTGGTGACTTTATAGTTGAAAACAACGAAAAAAAAAAAGGGGGGGGAAAACAAAACCAAGCAATTACACTGCCCACTTGTGAAGCTGATTTCCTTAAATTCACTTTTCAGTAATAGGCCTTTTAAAATATTTTTCTGCCTGTATCGCACTGTTGGATTTTGGACTGTATGGATTTCTAATTTTATTAACAAAACCTGCTTTGAAATTCCTGTTTGAACTGTGTGCATACATGCTTTTAGTGGGCTTGAGATATTTGAATTAAAGAGTTCTTGTTCCTGACATTGTTATTGCCATTTTTCTCCCTCTTCCTGTATGGGCAATTTAAAATAAACAGCTTCATAAATTCCTGAAAGGAATTAGCAGTGGAAACCTGGCAGACTTTTATTGTTTTCTTTGAGAGTGGCTTTTCCTTTCTAAAACTCATCACAGTGTGAAACGTGCTCACAGACATTCGTATCCAGCGTGGGCTACAGCAGTAACGCTGTGAGCCTGAATGTGTGAGGGTTTTGGAGCTGTTAGAAATGTGGGGGGGTTGTGGAAGGCTTTTTGGTTTGTATTTGGGTTGGTTTTTTTGTATTTTTCTTGGGTTTTTTTGTTTATTTAGAGTAGCTCAATGTGCTCTTCAGCCAACTATTGTGTTGATAAGCTGGAAGTGATGATTTGGTGTTCATTCTTCTGCTCGTTTTTGAGGTTTTCTGTCTGTACGTAGCCCAGAAGGTTTTTAAGAATGTAAGTTCCTTGTTTCATTTCATTTATTGCCATCTCAGTTTTGTAACTGGCTGTATTGTGACTAAGATGCCTTCTCACAGTAGTAAAACCAGTTCGATCGTGAGCTCGAGGCAGTAAACCGACCGAGGGAGGAGCAGCGGATAGATTAATTAGTAGCTTTCATCAGTTAAGGGAGAAGAGTGTGCGGGGTAGGCTTCAGAGGTGTTGTGGGGAGCAAGCTGGACACTTCTCCAGGTGTGTTGGGGACATGGTCCTCTTCAGCCTCCCGCCCAGCGGAGGACGCGTCTGCCATCG